TTTTTGGGCAGGCTAGGCTGCCTTTGCGGTGACTTGTCTGCGGGCTTGGCCGTAGACAAGGAAACTTACTTCTTTTATTTTGACTTTGGCCGATGCACCAAAATGTCGTGTGCACACGGTGGATTCAGTGGTAGGAGTGCTTTATCGTTATCAGACCATACATATAATTGGCGTAGCTCCCAAAACGGACGCTAGCCAAACAACCATTGATACCCCGAGTCGCATTTGCGCCGCAAAATGCGACAGGAACAGCCAACCCGAAACAGAAAAACTGCGAAACAGTAAAACCCCATATTAAGGTGCAAGCAAAATACCATATCAAAATTCCAAAGTGTTCAGTTTTGCCGCACTGCCTTCAAATTGATTGTGGGAAGATTGTTTCCAGTAAATCTCGCCGGCGATTTTTTCACATGGAAACTGATGAGAGGCTGTGAAGTTGAGATTCCTAGTGAGGGTCAAGGTTGCTTCATGAAATTTTATCACAATCAAAAGAGAGTCTGTTTTGAAACGCTAGCAACCGAGACTCGTGCAGTGACCTGTTCTTGCCTTCGCAATTTTCGACGGCGTGAATTCGAATACCTGTGCAATTGCGGGCAGGTTGATTCGCCGGTGTGACGCGCCCTGCTTCAACGTGGGTTGCGGTCGTTTTTTCTTTGGCGTTGCTGTTCCGTGCTTGAATTTTTTGTTGCTAAGGCAATCGTGAGTTGTAGTTATGAATATAAAGATTCAAGAAAGTTGTTGAACTCACTAGGTACACATGTTGAACCTATTTCAAGCGGGAGGTTTTACACTGCACAGACTAACTTTCGAAATGCTTCCTTGTTCAAGCGAATCACTGTTTTTCCTAATCTCTAAATACATATGGTCCAAAGTTTTTGCCGAGCTTCACTTTATTCATTGTATCAGTGACGTTAAGTAAGAAGGAAAATTTGAAAGTGGAAATTTGTTCGTGAACAGCTGTTCTCTTTTTCATTTCATAATCGGATTGATGTTGGTTGCTGAACAATCATTATAGAAAATCGCTGTCTATTTTTAGGATGGGTGATGCAGGATTTTTCCGAGGTACAAGCTCGGATCAAGATGGTCGGTTTTCTGATAAGGAGAAGAAGTTGCTCAAACAAATGAAATTCGAGAACACACTAGATCGGAAGGTACTTTTACTTTTATTAGGAGCGCTTAGCTAAGTTTAACGTTGATGCTTTTGAATTTTCTTACTAAAGCTTAGTAAGTAGGATAGCTTAGAGCGTTCTAAACCGAATGTTTAAAGGATTTTCGGCATGGTTTTTTCTAAGATCAACATGGACAAAATCAACTTGGACGTGATCAAGCCGTGGATCACTATGCGTATCAACGACATTCTCGGTATCGAAGACGACGTTGTGATTGAGTATATTATGAGTCAGTTGGAGGAAAAAGATATAAATCCAAAAATTATGCAGGTT